TCCGCAATTCGACAAGCCCTACGATCCTGCCAACCGCAGCCCGCCTGCATTGCCCCAGCCGCCTGCGAGGTTGAAGGTGGTCCCTGAAAAGGGACGTCGGTGGATGCCCTAAGTGGGGGAACAAGGGACGCCCTCTGTTTTGCGTAGGGCTTTGTGGTGGGATGTAGTTCCTGCATTTGCAATATGTAGAAAACCCACGTTGCTCCTCTAATTCCTGCCGATGAACTCTTTGACCGTCTCCAACGGTTCCGAGGCGTTCCTTACACATGATCAATCCCAGGGCAGAGAATGGGTCTAGGTTCCTTTGATTTCCATTTGAAAGTGACCAATTGCACCCTGTGAAGGCGACTTGAAAGCCAAAAGAGTGTTCCAGGTATTTAGGAGGGTTGATGGACACCAACATGAATCCAAACAATTCGGAGATCCCAAGTGTTGACGTACCCGAATTCATCGCACTTGGGTCCCTTCCTTCTCTTTTGGTTGATGTGGCAATGAAACTCTCAGGAAGCCAAACAAAGGCCCAAAAGTTCGACATACAAGATAGCAGGTGAGCTGTGTGTGCGCTCCTAGTGGACAAACAGTGCCAAAGTATTAGCCCAACTGGACCATAGTGGCAAGCAGGTTGGGCAATTTGCCCAATGCATGTTCTTTTCGTGGAAGACTGGAGGAGCATGGGACTGGGCAGGACTAGGCCGACCTTAGAAGGTAGATTGCACAACTTCTAATTTGGAACTGCCAAACACCGCGCAAGTCTTGGGCTAATATTTGGGTGTGTTGAATTGGAGATGTCATGTTGGTGCCCTTTTGAGACAAACCTCCAAAGTGTCCCTAGCTTTGACAGCGTGACACTGGTGATTTTCGATCTTCCAAACGGGGGAGCCTCGTGACTCGAATGACGCCAGGCTTGACGCCTCCTTCTCAGAAGAAGTACAAGTCGCCGATCCCCACTGGCCCGCCGAAGGCCTTTGGCCCGATTGGCTTGCCCGGAGACAACCCCCCGCCCCCCAGGCGCTTCAAAGGTCACGTGGCCGGTTTGCTCCCCAATGGCGACAGCTTCGACCCAGTACCCCGTCCCAAGTCCCTTTCGGGCTGGTCATTTGAACATGCCCGGACTCAGGAGCAAACTAAAGTAACGAAAGAGGGTGCTGCCTTGCCTAACAGAATGGCTGTCTTAACTCGCTTGCCGTTTGCTCCGGTGAGCTGGAGCCGAATTTCAGGGGTCAGTGCTGCCTTAATTCTAGGCAGTTTTGGCTAGGTGTGTACCATGCCTTCGGGAAGGACTGCTTCCTACGAACCTCGGCGCTGTCAGGTGAGCCGAAACTCCGACGACTACACTGAGGAGAACTTGCACATGCTTAAGAGCAAGTTCCAGTTTGAGGCTTGGATCATTGACAGGCGCCATGGCCATAGTACATGTATGAGAGATGACAACCAAGTGGTTGACTTTGTACAAAGCATGTGGAACTTGAAATCTGTTAGCCCGCGTTAGTTACTCTAATTGTGTTCAAGCTGTTCGACGTGAATTTTGGGATGAGGATGCGTACAGAGCTCAGACCACCCGAGCCAAGCGAAATGGTGACAGTGTCGATCATGGTAAGGGACCCTGTGCGTATGTTGAGCGTTTGACAATATCCTTGGTAGCCTATGAGAGTTTCAAGAGCATATTGGAGCACACCAAATCCGTTTGGTGAAACTCGTCATGCTCCAGCTCATTGGTCAGGCCTTGGGTGTTTTCCATGACAAGGGCCTCTTGGCTGAGAAGGAGGCTCGCACTGGTTGCTGCAAGAGATGGGTAGATTGGGTGTGATATGAAGGAGGCTGGTCTATGGTACCATGCCCCACAAAGCTTGCTGGGAGGGTTCCCAGAAATCAAGTTCCTCTCAGCCCTGTAGAGGCTGCTGGCCCAGGGTATGCAGCTCGTGAGCTGCTCATGCGCAGTTTTGTTGTCTCAAGCGCGCAAAACCTCCGTCCAAGACTAATTCCCATGAGTCACTTTTTCTAGGTGGTTTGGTTCCTACCTGGTTTTTTCCGAATTGTCGCACGGCCTATCTATAGTCTATAGCGATTTAATTAGACCCAAACGTTGCTGGGTTTTGGGCACGTCTCAAGTGCCCCTCCGTTGGCCAAAGTGTGCGGTGGATTCCACCCTTTGTTTTTCTGAGCGCGTTTCCTTCAACGCCAACCAACAAAAGCGTTGCTGGTTTTTGTCCATGTTCACTTGGGGAGGCAGAGAAGGCTTGAACTCGTTGAGCAAACTCAAGCTTGCTCAGTCATCTACATCCACCATTCTTGGGCGAAGATGTTTGCGGCCGTTTGTGAACTGGGGAAATTCAATCAAACTCATGGTATCCCTTCAGGTTCCTTTTCAATCAACTGAAGAAAGGATTCCGGCACGTAGACCAACAGTCAACCAACCAACTTTGGGGGGGGTCCGTGATTTTCGGAAACATCCAGCTGGATTGTTCTAGAGGAATCATAGTTCAGTTGCGAGCCCGTTAAATCTGAAAAACAAGGAGGGAACACCAGTTGTTCAGTGGCAACGTTTGTTCGTCGGCATGTTCCAGTTGACTCCAACTAGCAAATCCAACCACTATATTACAAACTTGAAGCAAGGGCTTTCACCTTCGCTCCCCAACTGGGTCAGGTGGAAGAAGCAGGGCCGACCCTACCCCCCTTTCCCGTTGGCAGTGAGGACTTGAGCGGGTTGAGCTGTTGGCTGATGGTTGGCTTAGCAATGACATGGGGAGGCCCAAATTTCCTACTGGGAATGCTCGCGATTTAGCGTAGAACACCATGTGTCAAGAACAGGGTTGGCCTGATAGAAACCCCAGTGAGACGGCACCAATGTTTCCCTTGTTCCCGAAAACGAGACTGGGAACGAGTCGAAGATCACCCATGCCGCTTCCATGTTTGGCAAAGATTGGGTCTTAGAGCCACTTTGTGCTCCAAACCCTGGCACAAGGGCCGAAAGTTGGCCTGGAGTGGGGATGGCCCACTGTAGCACTGAAAGGCTTTTTTTTGCAACCCAAGAGGGGCATGCATCAAAGATTTGCCACAGTGCTTTCTTATCGGATTTCTCGGCCAGGTGTTCACTACCGCCTTCAAGTTGCACCTGGTGGGCTGGCTGAAGGCAAGTGGGGCCGCGCCGGATGCGGAAAGGCGTCAAGGATTGACACCTAAAGACTATGTGGGTGCTTTCTGAAAGGGGAGAGCCCCTCAAGTTTGAGGCTTCCTTTAAACTGGGGGTTCTTTCATGTTATTTTAAACTTGTTGCTTTCCTTTTTGGTTTTCCTTGGAGACCATTCCCAACAGGTTCTCCCGTACTTTTGTTGCGAGCCTCCCTCTAGATCCAGACTTTGCATCAAGGTTTGTCACGCTACACTACACACGGCGCAAACTGTATGCTGCATGCACTTGCATTGCGACGAGCAGTGAACGGGGAGGGGCCCGTGGAGGATTGTGGAGAGTTCGTTCCTGGGTCTTGTTGATCTCAGGCGAAGTGGTCTGTGAGCAGATCATGCGAGCAACAGTCATATTTTTGGTTGATAATTGCTAGTCTACCGTACCCTTCAACAAAAGAGGTACACTCTCCAGAGTGGATTTGAGCTACCGCTAAAAGGGCTGGTACGAGAGATGTGTATGGGAGTGGAATAGGGCAACAAACTCCAAAAAGCGAAGGAGAGTCTTTAAAACCATGGATCCAAATGTTACATTTCTGGCTTTTGCAGGGCAACACCCTTTTTCTCAATCAATTGTTTTTGTGAATTGTGGCTCTTTTGAACTACGATAGATGCGATGCAACTGGGAAGACTATGGGGAAAGCTGCAGGAAGACTGCAGGAAGATTACGGCAAATGGATGTAAAATCCAGGCAGGAAGCACAACGATGCTTGACCGTAACAAATTTAACTCCCGGTCAAAGGACCAATATACTGATCTTCGACACACTTGTCCAGTTGGATCCAATCCAGTTCTACCCTTGTTTGGGGTCCCTTTGATTTCGACTGGAAACACTGGTGTCCCATTGTATACATGGAAGCTTCTGGGTAAGTTGGTGTGTGTTGAAACCAGGGACCCCGGAAATGGATGGCTTTCCTTTGGGTTCCCTCTTGTAGCCGGGCAAAGGGAAAGGACTGCGCTGTTTGCCCGTTTGGCTGCGTTTGCTTCGCCCGCGCCAGATCAGAAGTGGCTTCATGCTGGGCCATGTCCAGGCGGGCAGCCGCTCAAGTGCCTGCAAGATGCCCCAAACATCTCCGTTTGCTGAGTCGATGGCGATTTGCTCCAGCTTGCTTTTGAGGGAAACGGAGCTTGCTTTTGAGGGAAACGGTGATCTCTTTGGCGCCTGCGACTTGAAGATCGGAAGTCAGCTTTCTCGCAAGAGAACAGGGGTCAAAGGCGTCAAAGGAAACGGCTCCTTTCGAAATCTTCAGGCCAATGTAAGTGTTTATGTCCAGATGCAGTGATTTTGTGGACCTGAACCTTTTTTGCCAGCCACTGCAGATTCCCTTGCTTTGGCACACACCCTCAAATGACACAAAGGCAAGCCAAAGGATGTGCCGCAAACGGACATGACAAGAATGTCACTGCGAGGAATCCACTGAGTTGTTGAGTGGTACCATATGCAACTATAAACCCTTTTTCCCCATCTAATAGGATTTGCCACCCCAGAAAGGGGTCCCTTTTTCGGAAAAGTGAAGGCATCGGCTTTGCGATCATTCGATCCTGTTAGCGAAGGAACATCACGAGACTGTTTATCGCCCCGGCACCATGTAGCTCTGCATCGCATGCGTTTGAAACTATCGAAGACTGATCGTCCATCCATAGCCGAAAAAAGGACTGGTGCTCTTCATGTGAAGTGACAGCTCGCATTTCAAATTAGACCTTCAAAGCCCTGAACGAACTCATTGCAAATACAACACTTTGGGTCACATTAAGGAGGATGCTGGACGATGTCGAATGAGGCACGGATCCAAATCAATGATCCACTCTTGGCGCAGTCATATATTCGACCCGAGCTTGCTTCTACGTATAGTAGTATTCATACTCTTCGATTTTTCTCTTTTTTCACTTTTTGCACAGCACAGACAAAGCCAGTGTCTTTGAGCCACCCGCCAAGAAAGACATTCCGCGAGCGCCATCTCTCCCAAAGCGGAAGCTGAGAAGGCGATGTCTCAAGACGGCGGGTCCACGGAGGATCTTCGTGCCTATCCCTCCGGGACAGTCAACGTCTCCTTCCAGCATGACATTCTCTCGCCGAGCAAAAGCTCTGACACTTCAACTCCCGATAGACCGACCCGCCTTCACGTCTCCCTCCGCAACGTCTGCTACGATGAAGCGACCAAGCAGTCCGAGGCAAAGCAGCTCTTCCACGTGATCGACAAGCACCGGGCGCATTTACGAGAGTGGCTTCCTTGGCTCGACTTTGTGAAGAAGTTTGAAGACCAGTTTTTCTTCTTGGAGAAGACTAGCTGCGAGGGAAAGGCGAAGAAGTCGTTTGTCCAGGTGATCGAAGTTCGAGAGGAAACAGCAGCACCAGTCATCGCGGGCACATGCAGTTTCAACTTCGTGGACCACGAGAGGAAGATCGGTTACGTTGGGTATTGGCTGTCAAAGGAGTTTGCGGGTCTTGGATTGATGACGAAGTGCGTGGAGAAGCTTGTTCAATTTGGTGAGAAGGAGTTCCAACTCCAGCACTTTGACATTTCCTGTGCCGTGGGGAACTTGAAGAGCCAGAAAGTGGCGGGAAAGTTAGACGGGTTTTTGAAATTGGAAGGCGTGAAGGACGTGGTGAAGTTGTACGGAGTGGAGCACGAGCTGATGTCGTTTGTGAGAACAGTAGTGGAAAAACCCGACTATTCGGCGCGGGAAGCGAGGAAGGATTTTCAAGTCAGGGACCTGATGTAGAGGAAGAAGAGGATGAGGAGGAGCAGATATTCTAGCGCCGGAACAGCTGCAATGCTTCATTATTGGTGGTACAGACGACAATGCAAGTGGTCTGCACCTGACTGCTTCTGCTCTACTTGCGACCAGCACGGAGGCACTTTGTCTGTTTGCAGTGTTGTAGAAGTAGTTAGCGCAAGGCAGAGTCCTAGCATCTCACTCGGATATGTTTCCGTCAGCATCAGGCGATCTCCGCTGATATGTACAGAAAAGGTACTTGCGGGAATCTTCCGTGGGGGTGTTCAGGCGAGAAGTGATATTTGCCAGGGTGACACCTACGCGCTGTCTTACTTCAAGAAGTACCTGGAGGACCGGGCCAATCGGTGCAAAGCTTCGCGCGCTTGTGGCGTTTGAGTCCAAAGTGCCGACGGGCAGTTCTTCAAACAGCTGGTTCACGGGGTACTCGATGTGGACCCGTTGCTCCTACTGCTTTTCGCACCTGTTGGCCATCAGCGAAACATACTGTTTGAGGAATCCATTGGTTTACGTCTGCGGGAGACTCGCCCAGGGAGGTGCCTGTTGCCGCAGATGGTGGGCGACCGCAGTTGGCGGTTGTGAGTGGCCACTGGCTGACTTTGAAGTGGTGAGCAAGTGGTCATTGGGCCATGGGCACGGGAACAAACAGTCGTGTTAATTCACTGGAGGAGTTTGCAGAACCAGAGTGATGTGTTATCCAAAGTCCCCCCAGCTAAGAGGAAGCCAATATTTCACAGGGGCGGCGTTTTCGCAGAAGGGGCAAGCGTTTCCGACAGCCATGCTCACGACACTTCGAGGAGAAGCATCTTTCACCAGAGGCCGGCACCATCAATTCGGTCCGCTTGTTTGAGGCAGGGCGGCCGGACAACATGTGGGTGAGGCGAGAATGGGTTCAGGCATGGCAGCTTGGACTCCTCCAAAGTTCAAAGGATTCTTTCTATCTGGAACCAGGCAGGGCTTCCTATTTGCAAAGGGCTTCCAGCATCTTCCAACAAGTGATTCGACCCTTTGCTGAGAAGATGAAGTATAGTCATGGCCGCACTACGAAAGGCCGAAGGGAGCTCGTGTTTGTGCAAGATGTCCCAAAGCAGCTGAGAATAAACCTCCAACCATTTGTGGGACCGGAAAACAACCCTGGCCGACCTTTTGACCGCTTGGGCTTGGCCCTTTTTCAGAGGCATGGAAGAATCAAGATTTGGCTCCAGGCAAAAAGCCAATGCATTGCGGTTAGCCGGTTCGCCTTTTGATCCCCCTTGAGAAAATGTTTGTAGTTCGGTTATAAAGGGTATGTTTTTCTGCACTGGATTCTTAGATGCGAAGTCGCTGTAATTGGAAACCGACAAGGAGTGTGAAAAGGCAAAGCTGTGCCCAAGGAGTTGTCTATTCGCGCACTGCATGCGGGCGTTCAAGGGTGTCCCTGTAGAAGGGCCCAGTGATTTTCCCGTCAAATGGGTTCCCCCTTAGACGTGACCGCTCTGGTGCCTTGCTGTTGAGCATTGGCGTCTGGTCAAGTTGAAAATGTATGCGGTGCCAAGGGGAGATGGGTCGCAATCAAGCTGACCTCCTTATTTTTTGTTTTTCGGATAATTCAGGTTTTGATTAATCCGTCAAAACGGGGGTTGCTTGTTTTGACACCTTCCTCACTGCACATTTCCTCGCTGTTCAACAACCTAGGCGAATCCGCCACATCCAAGCTGCACCTTTCAGACCTATCAATGTCCCCGCTCGCCCGTCAGTACAACACTGGTTTGGAATCTCCCTTGAGCCCGGGCCTGAGCGGACTGCAGATGTTTGCCATGCCAGAGTCTGAAGAACGAAATCCTCCTTTGGAGAAGATCAAGTTCTAGGTTTGTTATTTTGTTATATATATATATTCTTTAGCACCGGCCATTGGTGGCTATGCTTGGGTGGATGTGCCTGACTGATCCCTTGCTGAGACTACAACCATTTGTACTGCGAGAAGGACACAGCTTGTTCGGACGAAGTGTGCTTGTTGTGTCGAAATTATTGCTCTTTGATTGTCTTCCGCGAGATGTATGCACAAGTTGTAAGGGGATGTACCAAAACCAGTGAGTCAATAGGTTGGGTTCAGGCAACAAGTCTGAGTGGTTTTGACACCTCAGGCGAAGATGCCCCCACCGGCAACAACATGAGGCACACAATCATGAATATCTGCAAATCGAGGAAAACCCAAACATGTGCCATTTTCCTTTTCGCTTCCTTTTTCATGCAACCCACAACAGCGGTGCGCTCAAACAAAGACACACCCACCAACAGATGCCCATGGCGTCGCAGAGGAACGGCCCCAGGGAGGGAACCTGACAAATTCTCGGCCTCGACCCTGGCTCCGATTTGTATGTGTGCATGCGCATGATACAACACATACGTGTAACTATGCAAGTATGCGTCTCTCGCTCTCCCTCTCTCTCTCTCTCTGTCTCTCTCTCTTCTCTATCTCCCTCACTCTCTCTCTCTCGCTCTCTCTCTCTCTCGCTCTGTATATTACATGTCTGTTTGTATGTTTGTACACAAAACACACGTCAGCAATACAAGATACAATATTCTGGAATTACACAATCCGTCTGCCATCCCAAAGCGATGTAGTCTGCTCGGCGCTGTCTGTTTTCACCGTGTGATTTCTTGCTTGACAAGGGGGCTATGTACATGCTGGAGGTTCTGCTCTGCAACTCTTGCTTGTGAAATCAGACAACATGCAAGCGTCGATTTGTGAGCTCAGATCGGCTTCTTTAGATACTGTACTTGAAACTGTCCTCGCGCGCTTTGTGATTCTTTACACACCGGTGTGTCTTTTTCGGAAACCCTTTGGTGGGCTTGAAAGAGAAGCCAGAAAGAACCCAACCATCCAACGACTGTTTTTATCAATGTCCAAAACCCCATAATTGTCCCACTGAGACACCTGGTGGTGCCCTTCTTCCCTTACTGGGAAGGGATTCCCTTTCAAATCAACCAATCTAAAAAAGGGTGCCCTTTCCTCCCATGGCCACTGGGCTCCTCTTGTGGCTCGCGGCTTCGCAGGACTGGCGCAAGTATCCGCGACGGAAGGCCCACATCATGCACGGCCCTCGGGCTCCGAGGCCGACTGGAAACCTGCCGAGGGTTAGTTTGTCTGGACCTCCCGAACAGGTTGTTGTTTTCTGTTGGGTCAAACACGAGAACGACCCCCCCGCCCAAAAACAAGGTTGTGCTTGGTTGGGGTCCTGGTGTAAAGAATGCTAAGCAAATTGGATACCGTCGATAGGGACGCGCAGGTTTGCCGTTGCTGTTTTCTCGCAAATTCCGATTCTGGTGAAAAGAGCAGAGGACTGTCTGCGATGGTTGGACTGTTTCCTGCACGCTGGCCATGCTGAGGTCTCTGTTTGAAAAATGGCAGGCAGGAGGGAGGGAGGGCATCTAACATCGAAACATGCGTGTCTAAATGTAGCTTCCTTGCTCTACTGGTTTGGCCGTGTGATGCCGCGTTTTTTTTTTGTGTTTTCCCTGCAAGCCCACGGTATATCTTCACGTGCCCTGGTCAAAACGCCCATTTACTTGGAGTTGGTAGGGATGGTCGTTGAGAAGCGAAAGTTTAGACAAACTTATTGGGGTTCCCACTCAGGAAGGCATGACCATGGCATCTCTTTGCTTTGGATGCCTAGAGTCAGACACTCATCAAATATATGCCCCCCTTTTTGGACCTTGGTGCCGCCTTGTGCTGCCTTTTGCAGGGGCTACTAAAAACGGTCCCTGGCCCCCAAATAGTTAGTTGCCTAGGCGGAGGTTTGAAGCCTTGTAATATGTTGCCAGCGGCTCTTGCAGCACTGAACGTCATCCGACAGCATTTGAGAATCCCGCTTTGCTTCTTGGATAAATGTTTGCTTGTCTCAAAACTGAGTTTGCGAGCAGCCCCAAGTACGGTGGGCCTGATATTCCTTTGGCTTGCCCTGAGAAAGGTATCCTCGAAGAAAGACACCCGCAACCCAACACGGCGGTGATATTCAATGGAGAACACCCTCAACCACTATGTATGTTGACGTCCACCAAAGTGTCCGAGTTGAAATTCATACTCATTGGCATGCCTTGGGTTCTGCTTATTCTGAAAAGGGTCAACACAACATGTTCTCGGGCCCTTTGGGGGCTCATTAGCCAATCAACTACGAGTTTTGAGCCGGGGGTTCCTACAGAAACCCGTCAAAAAGACAACCCCCCACCCGACCAAAGTAGATTCTAAATTGTGGTTTTTCCCCGCTTCATTCCCATTCATAGTTGCAACCCAACTCGACATACCCAATCGGATGACCCCCCCCCCAAAAGGGTTCCAATTCTTTGTCTACCCGGGTTCCGTACGAAAAAATAAACATCAACCAAACAAGAAGTCCCCTTTGGCTTTTTCGGCCCTTTGGGCCACCTGCTCCCAACCGCCTCCGGCCAGATCCGGCGCTTGGAGAAGGAGTCCACGGAGCAGCGGAAGCGGGAGGTGGAAAGCTTGGACGCGGGAAGCTCAGCGAGCCGAGAGTTGGAAGCCGATAGTGAAGGGACCCCTACGTGGGTGGGACGGTTGTCAGTCTCGGTCGGTCGGTCAGTCGTTCGGTCGGTCGGTCGGTCGGTCGGTTGGTTGGTTGGTTGGTTGGTTGATTGGTGGGCTGGTGGTTCGGTTTGGTTTGGTTGGTTGGTTGGCGGGCTGGTTGGTTGATTTGATTGGTTTGGTTTGCTTTGGTTGGTTGGCGGGCTGGTTGCTTTTGTGATTGGTTTGGTTTGCTTTGGTTTGGTTGGTTGGTTGGTTGACTGGTTGGTTGGTTGGTTGGTTGGTTGGTTGGTTGGTTGGTGTATTTGTGCAAAGCCAGCCCAGACTTTGGGGTTACCATTCCTTTTATCAACTAGTTTCGGGGGGTTCACCTAAAATCAAGTACCTCTGCCTCGCTGTGATTTTTGACCACCACCTGGGTTGTTGAAACCATAGCCGAATTGGCTGCTATGTGTCCAGCCCTGGAGCGTCCCAAGGCTTGTGACTCAAAGCTCTCAAGTCAGCCCTCACGCCACTAGAGTCTCAAAATTCTGAACTTGCGCAAACACGCTTGAAACTATCGCTGTGAACTAGCAGTGGCTTGTTCAGTAGGGGGAGTCCTTTCCTTCCGTCAAGTGGGACGTGCAGGAAGTCTGCTTGCCAGTTGTTGGGGATTGACCAGGGCACTGATGTTTGCTTTCCCTCGTTTTGTTTTTTTATCTCACAAATG